CACACTTCTACATAATGTCTAGAATAGGGAGAACGGACATGACTCTTCGGTTAAAAATTGTGGACTTGTATAGAGCAGGGAACACTCAGAAAAGGATAATAAGAACATGTGCCAATGATGGTTATATTGTTTCGCGCCATACTGTCAAATATTGGATTGACGCATACAACAGAGGGTATTTTGTTCAATTAAACAATGACAACCGCCCAATAAATTCCCAGAAATTGGTCACCGATCGAGATATCGAAGTTATACGAGAAACCCTTACGAATGACCCAAATATTTCAAGCAGAGACGTTCAAAGTGCTTTGATTAATGGTGGATCACGTATGTCTAGCCGCACTGTGAGGCGAGCAATAAATGAAGCTGGTTTTGTGTGTAGTAAGCCACGATATGCGCAACTTGTTCGAGATGTAAATAAAGTTTATGTTAATGAGTTATACCCAGACGGACATAGATTCCAACAGGACAATGATCCGAAACACACATCTAAATTGGCTCGCTCATTTTATCGGGAAAATAATATTAATTGGATAGAGTGGCCTGCCCATATATATCCTTTATCAATAAATGCAAAATTAATGTAGGTCATTTTTTATTAATTCATATTCAAAAGCCGTCCACGAAAGCTCATGTGCATAATTTTTCTAAGAAGCATTATAAAAAATAAAAGTCAACTATGAACTAACAGTGTTTACGTTGGATGACAATGACGGAAGTTGGACACTAAAATAGACTAATTATTAATAAACTTTTATTTTCGAGTTATTACAACAAAATTGACGTGACGTCAGTCAAAGTGGGCTTCCATTCAAGAAAAAAAATCTGGGAGAAAATTTAAACGATTATATTTTTTCTTGAACATGAAATTTATAAGAACTGTGCATACGGAATAAAAACACCTATAAATTTAGATTTCATCAAGCTTAAACATTCAAATTTTACAAAATGACAATAAAAATCTAAACATTAATTAAAGTATCCCAATCAAAGGTCAATTCAACATAGTAATATAAGTGTGTGATTATGTCCATTATTGGGATCCTACATATTACCGAACAAAATATGGTGTTTTTTTCGCTATAACTTTTATTTTAAATAATAAACAAGACTTCATTTTTAACCAAGTAAGTTTGGGTTCTTAATACACATAAACATTCCTTTATCAAACATAAAATTAAACATTTGACCGTAGAAATGGGTATAAAACAGAATGCCTCTGTCTTCAGACATAAACATCGTACATAATATAAAAACATACTGGAAATATAAAATAGGCACTGGGGCGCTAATTTTTGCACGTGCCATGTTCATAAAAAAAAATACCCACATTTTAATATTATGTTTTTGCCGTTTACTTTAAGCATTTTCAAGGTGCATATCCATATCGGTACCCTCTGCGAAATCTGCTCAAACGGTACCCTCTTTGAACATGCACAGGTCATTCTCTGCTTAAAGCAAACCAGCGATGTATAACAATCCTGTAAAATTTCACTGTTATAAGGAAAGGAGGTATGACACGTAGAAAAGATGTATATCACGGAACACTAGAATGTTTTATTTATGTGCTGATTTGCCATGTGGCCGATTTTCATGTACTGCAACTTCCTTCACAAGAAGCTACAAAAAATCGACATGTCTTGCCTCGCCCATCACCTCGACATATTTTTCGGGCTGAAATGAACCTGTGGCTTGTGAATATGAATATGTTCATTTCAGACCGAAAAATATGTCGATGTGATGGGCGATGCAAGACATGTTGATTTTTTGCAGCTTATTGTGAAGTTGCAGTACATGAAAAACGGGCACATGACACAATCAGCACATAAATAAAACATTATAGTGTTCCGTGATATACATCTTTTTTACATGTCATACCTCCTTCCCTTAGTACAATGAAATTTTACTGGATTGTAATCCATCGCTGGTTTCTTTTTAGCAGAGAATGACCTATGCATGTTCAAAGAGGGTACCATTTGAGCAGACTTCGCAAAGATGGTACCGATATGGATATGCACGTGATTTTCTGACTTTAAGTATTTTCTGACGTTACCTATAAATTATATTGCCGTTTTTCCTTTATTAACTATTAGTAAACTATTTATTTCATAATGACCTGTCCGAAAGATTTCTAAGACAAAATGCCCGTTAAACACACCTAAACAACATAAAAACATACTGGAAATATAAAATAGGCAGAAGGGCACTACTTTTTGCATGTGCCATGTTCATAAGAAAAATACCCACGTTTTGATATTCTGTTCGTGAAGTTTACGTACATATATTTAAAATGTGCTTGCAGACTTGATGGTCATACTCAAATGCTTACGGTATGTTATGGACATGTTACAGAATTCTACAGATGTTTTATTTTTTCATAATTCTGTATTTCGTTTTCAAATTAAATTACACAGCCTTTTTGTCTTGGCCAAACGTGTGTGAAACATAATTCATCGATTGTTTACAAACTTACAAATAACCATTAACTTACTTCCTCGGATGTCTTCAAAAAGTTCCTGTTTCTCACTTGTAACTTGCTGTCGACGTTATATTTAACCATGTAAAACAACGTATCCGGCCTGGTTAATTTTCTCAACGCCATTACTGATACACAATAGCAATGTTCTTAAACCAATGCACAATTTATGCGAAGTAAGTCCAGCACCATCGTCGGATACCCACGATTGATAAACATGTCACATAACATGCAATCAACCGTGGGTAAAATGAATCGATTTGCGTCGATATACAGCAACAGGTGCGTAAAATATCTACCAATGACATCGCGTTGAACAAATCTATATTCTTCAGCAGCGGAGGTAAAAACAATAAGAAACAAAATGGCAGCGCCCACGGTTAAATACTGTTGCACGTGTTTTGCTAAAATCAATGTCAAAAACTATCGCCAAATCAGTTCTTCTGCAAGCAGATATCAATCAGAAAGGAAAACATCACGCTGTAAAAGTAAATTATCTATACTTTCTTGCTGAAATCGTTTAATTTTTCGATGTTGAACTTTTCACGTCGTCTATGGTTGTCGCAATATTGTTTGTAATACCGAACGTCGTACAGAACGAGCGTTTTGATTGGTTTTAATCGCCTCATGTAATCGTGAGGCAGCCAATGAAATAGCTGCCTTTGACACACCCCTAATCGACTGAATATCAGCAAAAAATCCCACGGTAGATAAATGTTAATGGTTCGACCGTGGGTATCCGACGATGGTCCAGCACATATATCAAAAACTATAAAGAATTTAAGATGCAGCTAATCCAAGACAAATGAAAACACGAGTATGATTGATAAATTTAAAATTGTGATGTTATGGAATTGAATTAGCGGAGTTTTGTAAGTAAATTATTTTATTGTCGACCAATCAACTTGCATCTTGCTACTCATCACCTACTCATCTCATGCACCTGGCATTTTTTACTCGTGAAATTGAAGGTAAAGAATGTCTCAATTTAAGTGATAAAACTTTTACAATTTTCAACAATCATAATTAGCGTAATAGACGTAATAATTATTTACACCTGTGAATCGGTGCTTAATGTGGCTTTGCATTGTTCTAAAAATAGAATATGTGCGAAAGTAAACAATGGATTTTAATTACATTTGTATTATTATCAAAATAACAATTGGACAATTTGTTATCGTGCGTTCTTTGATGTAGTACCAATTACCTCTCGTTTTGTTGTTAACTAATTTTCACCAGCACCTGATTGCTTTGTTTTAGTATACAAAATGTATACGCTGTACATGTTCAAATGCTAAATATTTATAAATATACATGACATTTACAAGATTTTTTTTAAAGTTTTAGAAATTAAAGACCACGGGAATGACCAAGTAGTACTTTCTAATTGAAGATTCGCGTAAATTACGGCGATAAATCGCGGCGATTTTTCGTGAACCGCCGTGTAATTCGGCGAACTTGCACGCGGAAATGTTTTACCGCGTAGTGTCCCGTCGCGACATAGACTACACTCGCGGCATAACGCGACTTTTGCGGGTTTCGCGTGACCAGTACTGTAGCACACACACACACAAAAATAGCAAATGTGTTTAATTAATATCATTAGGAATCATAGCACCAATTAAGGTACAACAAGTTTAACCATAGACCCCCCCCCCCCCCAAAAAAAATAATCACAACAAATATCAATTCAAAATAAAGCATATTGTTGTTAACAAGAAACTTTTGTATTGTGCTAAATTATTTATAATAGAGATGCACTTTACAACAAGATAAAAATTTATGAACACCATATGGCAATAAAGCTTCTTGTAATCATTCAGTTAAACTAATAGAAAATGAGCAATATTGCAGTTTGATCCATTAGTGATATGAGATTATCTCTTGCTAATGCAGCGATGACAGATGGTGTTATTCGAGTGATATTAGAGAAAACTTATGGAGTGGTCTACGCAAAACTGTCTTAACTTTTTTCATAAAAATTCCTAACTTAACACAGTGTTGAATCGAAGCTACATAATGTGTTTCAAAATTTAGTTGGCTCTTTCTCCTTATCTTTGCATCTGTCTGAACAATTTTCGTAGCGAATATTATCTGAACGAACAATCAGAATACCCCTCTATATTTCAATACAATGTCACAAATATCATTATTATTGGAAGGGAAACAATACCACGCAAATGGTTATGTGTTATGTAGACAATTTATGTGCTAAATCAAACAATACAAGTGATTTCGAAAATGTTTGCCTAAGATAGAGTTTGACAGGAATGATGTTAATCAAGATTTCTTACATCAAGAAAACAAAACAACGCAAGTACCGACACAATGCAATGCAATTTAGTGACAGAACAAAGACATAAAATACTAGAATAATGCAATGAAATTTACAGACAAATCACAGACAACCAGAAGCACTAGCATAATGTATTGCATTTTAGTGATTTGCATTCTACTGATATAGGTTAGAAAGTCAGAAAGATCAAATTTTTTGTCCACTTCACACATGTGCATTATTTCTTACGCTAGACACTTCAACATTGGAGCAAGAGTGCATGTTATTCAACCAGGATCCTGCCCAATAAGGGCATTTGTTCTGTATGGTACAGGTTTGCGTTTCATTGCACCAGCCACAATTAAATTTAGGATCTAGAAGCATGCAATGCCCGCATGTTTTAGCCATTTCGTTACATTTAAAAACTCGCACTGAAATAAATCAACAGACAAAACCATTATTTAGCAGAATATAACAAGAAAACTCACGCTGTTGATTTCTACTTTTGGACATATTGCCGTGCTTGGAAGCCATGTGGACTTTGAGCACTGACTGTTTATCGTGCATACATCCCCGCACCATCCACATTTGTACTCGCTGTCCATAGAAATACAGTCTCCGCACGTGTAAGCCATTGACTCGCATTTGTACATGATCACTGAAGAAACATCACATAACATCAATAGTATTGTCTCAATCGAAAAAGAATTTAGCTATTTAATAATGAAACTTTTTCTTAGGAATATTCAGTAAATCTATACAAAAAAAATTTGTTCAGTTTGAAAATCTAATCTTACAATAAATTAATAAATTTACTGAATATAAGAAAAATAAAGATATTGCTTTTATTAAACAATAATTTGGGTCTGTCTGCAATGTACAGGAAAATGGACATTCAAAACTGTGGCCTAAGACTTAAAAAGGTTTGTTTTTTTGTGCCTGTTTAATTTTCACTTGATAATATTTTGTTCAAAGTCAGAGATATTTATATACATGTATAATGATTATACTCTTGACTTTTTATAACATTGTATATACATCAGTATGGCACACAAAAACAATGTCTGTCTTGAAAGATTATTAATAATCTCACTCCACTTCATTCTATGCAGATGCTAAGAAATATTCAATCACTTCAGGAAAATTTTTGAATATTTAATTTTCTTTGTTTGATACAAATGATTGGTGTTCAATAACCTTGCAGTTTATGAAGTGCCTGTCAGAAAGCTTAATCATTCTGCATCCAAAAATGTTCACACATTATTTCAATATTTAGGAGTTATTAATTAATTTATCAGGCATATGAACCACTTAACAAATGATAACAAAGGGAAAATAAATCTCTCGCACCAAACAAGCAACTTAAAATGTTTGACGACTAATGACATACAGACAATAATGATTTTGTCCATGTAACCGGTGTAGTGCCTTACAAGTGTACATGACCAAACTGTCTGATATTGGCTACTGAATGTTATGACTTCAATCTTCAATTCCTTTAACATCTTACACCAAAAACTGCTGAATTTCTTAAAGGGGCTTGTCCAACTTTGAATTTTTAACAGACCATTCAAAGCTTTAGGGATAAAAATTGAGCTACTAACATTGTGGGACTTGCCTGGGCCTACACTGATAGCAAACGCTTATCATTTTCAATTCTAGCATTAAATTAACACAAGAACAAAGTTTTTTTGTTGTTTTTTTTTAAAATAAAAGGTTGAATCAAACAACAATTAGATATCAAAATATATAAGAATATTTGTTTTCTTGATAAAGCAAAATACAAAGTATCTCAGATTAATAACACTGTATCTGAACTTTTTCTTTATTGAAATCACATGAGCAGCATCATGACAAAACCAACATAGTGTGTTTGCGACCAGCATGGATCCCGACCAGCCTGCGCATCTGCGCAGTCTGATCAGGATCCATGCTGTTCGCTTACAAACCCTATTACAAGTAGTGAAACTGATAGCGAACATCAGGATCCTGATCAGCCTGTGCATCCGTTAGCAAACAGCATGGATCCTGATCAGACTGCGCGGATGCGCAGGCTGGTCTGGATCCATGCTGGTCGCAAACCCATTTTGTTGGTTTTGTCATGACACGGCTCATATAGTGGTATCAAACTGACCTTGTATTTTCTCAGGATTATCCAGTGCTCTTTGTACACTTTCAAGGCCTTCTCTCCAGTATATATGGAACACTACATTCATTTCTGGCCTATCGTCTGCATATGAAAACTAAAATTAAAATAAATAATTCAATGAACAAAAAGGTTTTGTTAATTTTCATCTTTAAATTAAAAGATTACTTTCTGATATAAAGTTCTCGACAACTAAATCTAGGGCCAAATTCAAATGAATCATACTAAATTTAAGATTTAACAAAATGTTTGGTCTTAGTTCTTGAGCTGAGCTTAAAGCTAAAGACCACCACAGAAAAAAGCCCACTTAAAAAAAAACAACAAAAAAACTAAAGGTTATCATAATTATTATATTTGTAGTGGAAAATTTTTTTTCATTGTTCAAAAAGACATTCTGTGAATATTAAAGCTAAATTTTGTTCATTTTCCAGGTCTAATTCTTTATTTGAGCCGTGTCACGACAAAACCAACATAATGCGTCTGCGACCAGCATGGATCCAGACCAGGCTGCGCATCCGCGCAGTCTTATCAGGATCCATGCTGTTCGCTTTTAAACCCTTTAACGAGTAGAGAAACTGAAAGCGAACAGCATGGATCCTGATCAGACTGCACGGATGCGCAGGCTGGACTGGATCAATGCTGGTCACAAACGCACTATGTTGGTTTTGTCATGACGCGGCTCATTTACAAGATGGCATGTTCATAATATGCAACACTTGGTAAATACTGTCAGTTTCAGTGTGTTGTTATTTTTTTTTTCTTCCTTTGTCACGATTAATAAGTCACCAAAGCTTGACCAATAACTGAGCAGTATAAAGATATTGTCTGTGAATGACAGGGCTGGCCTGTTTATCAATGGAAACAAAGAAAAAGGTTTTGCTAGGATAATGAACCTATTATCTAATACAATACAAACCAAGACTTATTGTGAAACAAACAAAAAATGTTAAGTCCTGGCAGGTCATTAAAACACACATGGCAAACGACCACTAAATATTGTCTGTCTATCAACTAATAGTACTAACTGGCCCACTTATCCCCCAGCAGTCTGTATTACCAATTTCTATATAGTAAGACCTTCTTTACAATCTTAATGATTTAATATCACTGATCTTTTATCTAAGCCACTTATTATTTTTATTTCTTTCTTTGCATTTTTTATGAGTGATTCCCATTGGACAGACTATTATGTAACTTACATCCACTTGATTACATTCTATGTATATTTGATCTGACCCAGCATCTGTGACCCTTGCACCAACTTCCCGCACTCCGAAGAATTCGCAGCGAATGTTCTCCTTCATAAAATCCTTCATATGAAGACCTTTCACAGTAATTTTCTTTGTGATACCGGAAGGTACCAGAATCTTGTTTGTTTTCCTACCCTGAAGTTCGAATCTTGGACATTCTGCTGGTCCAATTGTATGTCCAACAGACTGAAATATAAAAACAAATACAATTAAACCTCAGCCTGTTGAAAACAAAATTTGAAATTGAGCCGCAACATGACAAAACCAACATTGTGTGTTTGCGACCAGCATGGATCCAGACCAGCCTGCGCATTCGCGCAGTCTGATCAGGATCCATGCTGTTCGCTATCAGTTTCTCTAGTTGTTATAGGGTTGGTAAGCGAACAGCATGGATCCTGATCAGACTGTGCAGGCTGGTCTGGATCTATGCTGGTCGCAAACCCACTATGTTGGTTTTGTAGTAACGCGGCTCAAAATTTTAAAGGTCTTTGCCTCCATTACAGAGAAACACAGGACTGCACAGATCAGGCTATATACTGTTGCTAGGTCAATTTTTATGTACAATGATTTTTTTATATAATGGTAAATTATGATGATTTTTTGGGTATAATTTTGATTGTAGGTAATAAGACATGAATGCCCCAACATTGCACTGTATTTTCAGTGTACAAACGGACACCATGACTGACGGGCAAATCTATATGCCCCCTTACATAAGTGGAGGCATAAAAACCTGTGTTTTTTGCTGTGTTTTTTGCACCTCTGATGCCACAATTAAATGTAACTCATGTCCATGAAAGTTTCCTATGTCAATCATTGTTAAATGGAAATTTGACTAATATCAGCTTCTCTCAATAGTTTCCACTGTTTTAATGAAATGAAAACAATAAATATTCATTGTATGTAAACTGATTCCTTTTACAGTTATTTTAACATTATTTCAATTCACCACCTCAGTGTCCTTTTACCAGACAATTAAAACCATTACAGTACAATTGGTAACAAAATCTAAATGCAAACACCCTGCCACACACGACAATCTGAGAGTACTCTCCCCTGGGGAATACTCTTCAGAAATGTACTGATGGAAAACAATCAGATTCAATTAAAGACAAGCAGTCAGTACTGCCATATATCAGAATATAAACTCCCTAGAGTTATCAATATTTCATTGCAAAGCAGGCTAACACAGTCTAACACCAGCAATATTTTATATGAATAAAGCTTATTGTTATTTTTTATTGTTTCATTTTATGATGGGAATTTGAGGTTTCATATTAAAATTTTCAATTGTTCCTTTTGTCATTGACTGGTGGTGCTATCAGAAACAAACAAAAATCTGACAGCTTTCAATGAAATGTTGATTTACGGATAATTTTCCAAACTGATATTTCAAATTTTGTTGTGAGTGCTCTCAGTGCAAAATGCACTCCTGCTGCAAAATTTTTCATAATTTAAACATTAACCTTTCTTCTTCTCTGGAATCGCAAATTGCACTTGATGACTAATATTTGCAGAAACATGAAATGAGCCGCATCACGACAAAACCAACATAGTGCGTTTGCGACCAGCATGGATCCAGACCAGCCTGCGCATCCTCGCAGTCTGATCAGGATCCATGCTGTTCACTATCAGTTTCTCTACTTGTAACTAACAGAGTTGGTAAGCGAACAGCATGGATCCTGATCAGACTGCGCGGATGCGCAGGCTGGTCTGGATCAATGCTGGTCGCAAACGCACTATGTCGGTTTTAGCAACTGTCAGTTGATGAGAAGTTGAAACCTGAAAAACCTATATATTTTGCAATCTAACTAAAGATACTACTTACGTTTTGACCATATACAAGGTCTTGTTTCTTACAGTTGTTTTCCACATCGTGGGTACAAACATGGTTCTGTATACACCATGTACATGGGAACTCACTCAATGTACAGCTTGTGCACCTGAAATATACAAATACACATCATGTAAAACATATACACCTAAAGTACACTAATACATAAATATGATCATGTTCACCTGAAATACACAAATATACATCATGTACACCTGAAATACACAAATATGCATCATTTACACCTGAAATACACAAATATACATCATTTACACCTGAAATACACAAATATACATCATGTACACCTGAAATACACAAATATGCACCATTTACACCTGAAATACACAAATATACAACATGTTCACCTGAAATACACAAATATACATCATGTTCACCTGAAATACACAAATATACATCATGTTCACCTGAAATACACAAATATACATCATGTACACCTGAAATACACAAATATACATCATGTACACCTGAAATACACAAATATACATCATGTGCACCAGAAATACACACATACGTAACAGGTACAGATGAAATACACAATTAGGCACCATTAACTGTTGTACACAAGATTTACACAAATTTGTGCAATACACAACTTGTACACCTAAAATACATACACTGCATGGGGTACAAAACAAACCTTACATCTGAATAAATAATACAAATCTACCTCTCAATATCATAAAGAAGTACCAAACTGAACTTTCTACAACTTCCCAAGACATACTATTTTTAATTTCATCACCTCTATGAGTTTATATATTCTTAACAGCCATTATAATTCAATGTCAATGATGGAAAATTAACCCAGCCAGGTGGCTTATCATGCTACCAATAAAACTCATCTAATGAAAAAAAAATCCTCTTGAAAACCTAATCACTGTTTATTACCTATGGATGTGATAAAGCCAGATTTGAGAAATGTGTACCTCATCAATATTAAATGGTGAAATGATGAAACAGAGTTTTAAAGAACATATAAAATATTATGAAAACTATTTCCAATCAGCAAAGATTTTAATGAAAGAGAAACACCATAAAATGTAAAGGACCTACAAGTAGGCAAAACAAAACGAAAGCAAATAACTTTAGCCCATAAAATAAAATTTGATGGATTTTCCTAGCTTTGAATCTTTGAATGTGGGATAGTCTTTTATTAGTTTGAAAAAAACAAAAACAAATCAAAACAGTAGGACAGCAAGCTGCTTGATAGTAAGTAACGTAACAGCATGGATAATGTTGTTACTTTTCAAAAAGGACCATAATTCTGTCAAAATCCATGTTAAGAGTTATGTGCCTTAGACAGTGACCTCTAATTATGGTTTCAAATTCAACCCATTTTCTTCAGTAGTTTTGGAGATACTAACTTGCACCCCATGACTGAACAAAAGTGTGACAGCAACACTGGCACCAGTGTGATTACAGCAGCTCTACCTATTCTTCACATAAGTATTAAACATGTTATTCGAAATTGAAAGGCAAACAATATGGTCTACCATGCAGACTGCAGTGATGTGGAGACATGCCTGGCCCTATACTGGTGGCATAATGTGAGGAGAGAGGATTGGCATAGGCAAGTCTGTATTATAGCTAACATTTGAGCCGCGTCATGACAAAACCAACATAATGCGTTTGCGACCAGCATGGATCCAGACCAGCATGTGCGTCCACGCAGTCTGATCAGTTGTTCGCTTACAAACTCTATTACAAATAAAGAAACTGATAGCAAACAGCAAGGGTCCTGATCAGACTGCGCGGATGCGCAGGCTGGTCTGGATCCATGCTGGTCGCAAACGCATCATGTTGGTTTTGTCATGACGCGGCTCATTTAAAGTTTAAAATATAAAGGCAATATTTAACATCATGTGAACGTTTTCTAAGTTTGGTAATTTTTTACAGATTATCTTATCAGCACACCTATTCTCCTCTTCATGCAGTCAAGTTGAAGAGTTTTCTCCTTGTAACCTTGTAACAAATTTAAACACCTCTTTCCAAACAGGATAACATGTTCACTTAAATACTTAACAAAAAGACTTCAATGTTCTCAAAAGTTAAAGTATTTCAGCCTGGATAGTGAAAAATGCCTTTTATTACCAGATACTAGAGTGCAACATTTAAGGAGTGCCTGAAATTAGGGAAAAAAATCTACATAGATTCTAATTTTTTTTTGGTGTGAACCAACAAACAACTTGTGAATTTAAAATAAAAAGGAAATAAATCAACTTAAAATCTTCAAAGACCCAACATAACAACATAAGATCTAGGCGCAGCTGTCATAATAACTTAATAAATAATAATAAACTAAAAAAATCTGCAAGCAACTAACATAGAACAGCTCAAAATTAGCAAGTTCCTGACTAAACTAATAAAATCTGCAAGCACCTGCTATAACAACTCGAATTCTGCAAGCACGTGGTGCATCAAAACTAAAACTCTGCAAGTAACCAACAAAACAACCTGGATGGGAAAACCTTTAAAATGAAACATTAGATATGCAAATATCTCACACAACAAACTCAGAGCCAATAGTCTAATTACTGCCTAAATAATGCTTAAAATAAGAAATAACAATATTGTACAAGTAAACGTGCAAGCAAGATATATATTAATTTGAAATGGCACCGACATTAGTAATATTACAAGCAATAAATATTTTAGTTCTAAATTTCTAAGAACCAAAGTTAAAACTTGGTATCGTATAATCTCTTTACTAGACACATTTCCATTACAAATGCAACAACAACTAAATATGAGCAAAAATGTTCCGAAATGCTCAGATAGACTCCAGCTTTTATTAGTCAGCCTCTCCTAACTAATTTGAATATTTCCTGACTCATATATAATCTCCCATTTAAATAACTATTACACGGAATATCAGGACAAGGTGAAGACATCAAGACCTCTAATGATACCACAAAAAAGAGGGAAAACCAAAATTCTTAAAATATTAATAGTATGATAAACTGATACATTTCCGCGGAAAACTGGCAGGAATGCTTTGGAATGAGGTTATTAATATAATTTTTCTTTGCATAATAAAACAGAGATAGTGGATGGAAATTTAAGCCTTATTGCTAGCAACATGTAAAATGAAAGCTGTAATGTATTTATTACTGAATTTTAAGAGAACGCACTCAAACCAGATTAAAGAAAAGATAAGTCACATGTATCTGATGAAACTGAATCTATCGGTATTCAGAACGTGGAATTTTCATTCGCCCTCTTCTGGGGATATTGCCGATATTACTCAATATTGTCGGGCAATGTAAAATATTAATTTTAAGACGAGCAAGTAGCAATGAAGTATTGTAATACCATCTTGGCATGCACTAAAGCAGACAGCCTGGCATCTTAAAAGACAACTGCCTGCAAATCATCTTCTTTTCCCCCCCCTTCACCAAACAGATATTGAACCAGTTATTGAATATGTATGCCTACAGTAATAGTCTACAATAGAATTGTTCAATGAAATAAAATGCTTCAAGATGTAAAATAAGCATGCTGTCATATTTCAGGCATGTTTTCCAGTCTTTAGTTTGTAAAGTTGTTTTTTTTCCAATATAACCCACATAATATTGACTATGGAGATAAATTGCAAAAACAAAACTACAACTTTAGGTCAGTGGGGGTTGTGAAGGACCAGCTTCAACATTTTGTTAAAAGCATAAAATCTGAATTGTATTTTTTAATATTGATTAAAAGGCAGTTACCTAACAAACAGTCCTGTTTTTTTTTTTCTATACACCAATCTTAAGTTCAAACAACAGTGAGATAAAAGGCTTTTTATCACTTCTTACCAGCAAAATGTCCCCCCCCCCCCCCAAAAAAAAAAAAAATGCTTCACTTAACATTTTCATTATCAATTATTGGTCAATCACTATTATAATAGTCAATCTTTTGGAAATATATTACTATTTCAACTCTGACAGTGAAAACAAGAGCTGTCGGTAGGACAGCAACGCTCGACTATTCTTAGTGCTTGATAGTAAAAAAAATGCTTGATACAGTTACCTCCTCCTGTTTACAGGTTGGGGTCATGATGGTGAACAAGTGTGCAAAGTTTCAAAGCCATATGTCAATGGACTTTGAAAATATTTGAAATATTACAAAAACTTTAACGTAAATTCTAAGTCGAAAAAGGGGCATAATTCTGTCAAAATGCTTGATAGAGTTACCTCCTCCTGTCTACAGGTTGGGGTCATGATGGTGAACAAGTGTGCAAAGTTTCAAAGCCATATGTCAATTGACTTTGAAAATATTTGAACTATTACAAAAACTTTAACGTAAATTCTAAGTCGAAAAAGGGGCATAATTCTGTCAAAATGCTTGATAGAGTTACCTCCTCCTGTCTACAGGTTGGGGTCATGATGGTGAACAAGTGTGCAAAGTTTCAAAGCCATATGTCAATGGACTTTGAAAATATTTGAACTATTACAAAAACTTTAACATAAGTGGTTACGCCGACGCCGACACTGACGCCGACGCTCGGGTGACTGCAATAGCTCTACTTATTCTTATCGAATAGTTGAGCTAAAAATGAGCATAATGTCACTTAAAAGCATGATATTTTCAATCATTTCAAGCCAAAAATCTGAATTCTTTCACATCAGATCAATAAGAGACATGGAGATGAATAATTCTACCTTATACAGACCGAAAAGTGTTTACTTTGCTATAAATGCAAAATTTATTGCTGCGTTATTGCCAGAAACCATTTATATATTACCAACATGGTTTGAATATACGACACATTTCGGACATTATGCCTCTTCCATAGTTCCTGTTTTGCGCCTGTCTTTCAGGAATAAAAATAATGACGGAAAGGCATTTATATGTCTGGCGTTTCAAAAGTTGATCTATGAGTTTCCGAGGATAATCCAATAGTCTGCACAAAATCTGCAATTGTCATGTTAAACATCGAGACACCATGTATATTAAGTGCATTGTTTTCTCTGCAGCAGTCAAGGATTTCTCTGATACATGATCAACAATTTAATGTTAACATTTTTTTTTGGTTTGGTTTCCATCCACATAATGACTGTATCAAGTAATAAAGCAAATTTCTAGCTTAAACGGGAACAAAAAAACTTCACAAATACGTCTGAGCATAAAATTTTATTCTCACTTTGGTACATATATAGCCCCTCCTTAAACTAGCTTGTTAGCTACATATTAACAAAATGGCTTGATTCGAGACCACTGATATGAGGGGCAAGAAATCCAGTGACCTAAACTGCTAGGCTGCCAAAAAATCCTAACCTCAAAGATAAAGTCTCTCTGACAAAATCCCTTACCACACTAAATATCCACCTGTCAATATGGAGAACACAGGGTAAAATACCTACTGAGTTCAGACAGCAATGCTGTACCGGGATGTACCGGGATGTACCGACTGATCTTGGTTTACTGGTCACATGGGTAGAATCTGCTGCCAACAGGCTAACCGTTAAAAATCTATGAAAATCTAATTATGTTTACTACAGAGTCCAAGTTCTACAAATTACATAAAATTCTATTTGCCTTTAGAAAGCGTAATTGCAATCTAAAATGCATTCCACCAGCAATTTGAAATACATGCAAAATAAAAACTGGTTTATCAAAGGGTAATAAAATTGCTAGTTTGTTTTATTTGAGCTTTTAGTTTTCCTCTAATGTCTCAAAGGCAAAGCTTGTTAGCTGCTATGTTACATATAGAAATGGTGATGACTTCAGCTGTCGAGGGAAACAAGTAGAAACGTAACCATAGTACTAAAACAATGTTTTATTCTCAGCATATAAAAGAAAATTATTTATTCATGACAAAATAAGTATTCAAAATTGAATTTTCTATGCTAGAATAGACAATGAGCCTGGAATACAATGTCATAAAACTTTTGAGCAAAGACACCAGATTTCAAAATCAATCAAACTGTAATTGTACAGTACTGTTTTAAGGCAAAATTACATCAAGCTTGGGCACTGGTGAAACTACATAGGAGGTAGAAACAGTATTCACAATCACCCAAGAACAACACAGACAGACAGACAGTATGGAACACTAAGAACATGAGCATTTTTTACAGTGGCGGAAACATAGGAATCAAGGTTTAGAACGCAGGTGGATTTAAAATGAAGGTAGGGGACTTGACCTTATGATCTGAAAAAGGGTCTGGTTGGTAGATCTGATCAAGGTGCATGCACCTGTGAAGTTTGAAGGCAGTAGGGGGTGAAAGGATTTTCATAGTATGGTCAAGGTTACAGTTTTGTGACAGACAAACAAACAAACAAACACACAGACAGACAGACTAAAAAAAAAAAATATATGCCCAACTTGTATTTTGATCTGGGGGACATAAAACAAAACAGTGTCTCTGTTAAGGTATAAACCCACAAAGGTCTGGGATAAATATCATGGTAAACATGTTTTGTAAGTTTTAGAAGTGACGATGCAGAACACTTTTGTTGTCTCTCATGATGAAATTCAATCAAATCAAGTATGACAATTCAACTTATTGTTAAGCATTCATTACTCATGAGGGGATATTCCCTATTTCAGACTTGTTTACATATTTCAAAGTTTAAAGCATTAAGCTAATATCGAACTTGCTCTTGTATTAGAACAATACTTACGATTTGTGTAAGGAACAGTCGAAGAAAGTGAACTCCTTTGACACAAAGTCACGTCCCCATATATGGATTGATAAATTCATCTTTATATGATCTGCAAAGGAAATATAAATTATTTATAGTTATAAATACTTATGATGACAGCTTTCTTAGTTATAAATATCTATAACTGTATTTATAGCTATAAATACTTATGATGACAGATTTCATAGTTATAAATAGGTTTAACGGTATTTATAGTTATATTAAAACTTATGATAACAGCTTTTACTGTATTAAATACTTGTAACAGTACTTTTTACGGTGTAAGTTTTTTTCACTACACTCAAACTCTGTTTGTTCAAATCGCTATGATACTGAATTTTTACATAATTATACATGTAAGTGAAATTAACATTGATAATCTAAAAATCATATCTGGTTCTAATGTAATTGATTTCTTGGAAATAAACCACATTGGTGTTGAATAAAGGACAGGGTCAAATCTAGGCACCCATACAATATGTACAATACTTTTAACAGTGTGATTATAATAACAGCATATATCATAACTCTATAGGAACAAACTTGGTTACGACAACAACAAGACTATACCACTATAGGCAGGAATATAAATTACATTACCTAATGTTGCGTATAATTCATTTATGTCAGCAGAAAAAGATGGAATACTTTTGTTTTAAGGAAATCATTGTGAGGTGTAATACTGGTACCAGACGATGTCTGCCAGGATAACTGTACATTATTATGATCCCAGAGCAGGCTACTGCATGTTATATCATCATAAAATACCATCTTTAATGTCTGAATACATCCCCCTACTACCTCCTACATCAATAATTGTTCTTATAAAGTCAATTTAAATTTGAAACAATTCTGGTGGGAAATAGAAGCAAAAGACTACAGGCAGCATAAAAACATGACATCACAAAATGTGTTGTTTTGTTTGGTTTTACTATGAACCAACACAATATAGGTCATATGGCGCCAAAACGGAAAAGATTATTTTGGTCAGCCTCGGGTGCTGCAAACTTAAAACACCAGGGGTCAAAACCACCTCACCTGCTGGAGCTAAGAGATGCATAGACTCCAGTAATTCGGACCAATTACGATCACACAGAGTTAAACAGTAGCTGCAATTCTGATGCCTCCATCCGTAACATTTTGTATCTACTCGTATAAGGGAAATAATTCAAGCCTCCTGAAGAAATGTTCAGTTTTGTTTAGTTATTTTAAATATCATTTCAATAATATTGTTATTAATTAATTCCTATATCTAAACCATTGACTCTATGGGGCTGTAAGTGGTAACAATGGCATGCCCATGTCTACACAAAGTCTTATCTAGACTCCATCTGTTGGTTCAGTCATTTTAAATCTTAATATTTAAATCTCTTCAATAACAACAAACAGTACTTAAGTATTGAACATCCAAATTGTCAGCAAAGTTCTTTAGCCAACCAGTGAGATTCAGTCAAATTGTCAGTAAGTGAACAGTGAGATTCAGTCAAATTGTCAGTAAATTGTGAACAATGAGACTTGGTCAAATTGACAGTAAGTGAACAGTGAGATTCAGTCAAATTGTCAGTAAGTGAACAATGAGATTCAGTCAAATTGTCAGTAAGTGAACAGTGAGATTCAGTCAAATTGTCAGTAAATTGTGAACAATGAGATTTGGTCAAATTGTCAGTAAGTGAACAGTGAGATTCAGTCAAATTGTCAGTAAATTGTGAACAATGAGATTTGCTCAAATTGTCAGTAAGTGAACAGTGAGATTCAGTCAAATTGTCAGTAAGTGAACAGTGAGATTCAGTCAAATTGTCAGTAAATTGTGAACAGTGAGATTCAGTCAAATTGTCAGTAAGTGAACAGTGAGATTCAGTCAAATTGTCAGTAAGTGAACAGTGAGATTCAGTCAAATTGTCAGTAAATTGTGAACAATGAGATTCAGTCAAATTGTCAGTTAATTGTGAACAATGAGATTCAGTCAAATTGTCAGAAAGTGAACAGTGAGATTCAGACAAATTGTCAGCAAAGTTCTTTAGCACCGAACAGTTAGATACAGTCTACTTAAGCCCTGAACAGTGAGATTCGGTCAAATTGTCAGTAAGTGAACAGTGAGATTCAGTCAAATCGCAGTAAGTGAAAAGTGAGATTCGGTCAAATTGTCAGTAAGTGAACAGTGAGATTCAGTCAAATTGTCAGTAAGTGAACAGTGAGATTCAGTCAAACTGTCAGTAAGTGAACATTGAGATTCAGTCAAATTGTCAGTAAGTGAACAGTGAGATTCAGTCAAATTGTCAGTAAGTGAACAGTGAGATTCAGTCAAATTGTCAGTAAGTGAACAGTGAGATTCAGTCAAATTGTCAGCAAGTGAACAGTGAGATTCAGTCAAATTGTCAGTAAGTGAAAAGTGAGATTCAGTCAAATTGCCAGTAAATTGTGAACAATGAGATTCAGTCAAATTGTCAGTAAATTATGAACAATGAGATTCAGTCAAATTGTCAGAAAGTGAACAGTGAGATTCAGTCAAATTGTCAGCAAAGTTCTTTAGCACTGAACAGTTAGATTCAGTCTACTTAAGCCCTGAACAGTGAGATTCGTTCAAAATCACAGTCAAACATTCACACAAATTCAAAGCAGTAAAAGTTCATTATAAATATACAGAAGGGCAAGGATTAATATCGAACCAATACAACCAAATTTCTTGGCAAAAAGTTTCAATATTAACAACAATCTTTTTGACAAAGTTCCAAATGTTTGAGAGCTCATTTCAAGGCGAGTGCATCAGTATTCCCTCATTTGAGCATGGCCGAGAACACAATGACATTTTAATCCATCATCATGATGTGATTATGATGTTTCCATTTCCTTTTTCTATTGTTTATAATCCGTTTCCATGGCAACGAAAATGTTTCACTCATATCAGAAAATGGTTATTATTTCAATATCATGTTGTCCGTTATTTTTTTCTTCACATTTTTTCTTTTTGTCTCTTCTTATTCTTTAGATTTTTGTGATTGTGTGTGAAACATGCAATATCAATTACATGCAACAGTTACTGTTGCTGTTTTTTCTCTGTGCACTTTCAATGAAGATAATGGAGGGAAAAATTTACTTCAATAAAAATTCTCAATTTTGAGCGCACACACACAGAGTTTAAATTGATTTGGAATTGTTTCAAGATGCAGATCTAAATCTGCCTAGTAAATGTACATAAAATTGAAATTCGGTCTCATAAAAACCAAAATGTTCTTGATTAAGTCCCAAAAGTACCGAAATTAGTGTTCTTACTTGACTAGAATGTAAACAATTCGGAGAAAAACCAATTATTTTCGATGGTAATAAACGATTCTCCATGTAAACAGAATCAGTTAAATGTGCCAATTGTTTGAATGTGCTCCTAGTGCGCTTTCAATTATTTTATGCAATTATCTAACAAGTAGGCAAAAAGTTAATTAAAATATTTGACATTTCATGCTAAATTTAATCAGGTTTTATGAAAAACATAAGTTTTATATAACTTAATTATTTTAAGATTTAGTCATAAAAATTCATAACATTCACTTTTTTTAACTACTACGCCAGATTTACAGAAATTTAATGTTATAACTTCCCTTCACATGACCATTTTATAATAATTATATTTTCATGACTGCTTAATAAAAATTCATTATTATATTTTCAGGCATTCACAAAAATCTGAAATCATACAATAAACAGATCTCTTTATATTTTTTCCTGGTGAGAATAAGAAAAATATCAAAAGAAACAGCATCCTATCAGGAAGAAATAATTATGCCTGGAAAAGTATTTAGCAATATAATATACCTGATAAATGCTGAAAGACTAGCACTTGATATTGCTATGGCAAGTACATATCAATCAAATATGACACATATCAAAGATATCAACAATAAACATGAGAAATATAGCCCCATATAATTATGGTACGGGAGCTTTAATAACCCTCACTGATGCTTTAATAACAAGACCTAAACCAGTATATGACCCCACACATTTGTTGATTTTTCAATAAAAAAAATATTGCTGACTAAGTGCAGTATAAACACATTCATTTTCATACATGTGAGAATTTATGTTTGCACTGATTGTGGAAAAGTAATGACCAAGTTATGCAATCATTATAGAATGCTTGCTATCCAATATAGAATAAGAGATGTTTCCATATTCTTACAGACCATATGCAGCTGTCCATAGGATATCAACATCATAGGAAAAACTGAGTAACCAAATATAGATATGAGCCGTGTCACGACAAAACCAACATAGTGCATTTGCGACCAGCATGGATCCAGACCACATCCGCGCAGTCTGATCAGGATCCATGCTGTTCGTTATCATTTTCTCTACTTGTAAAAGGGTTGGTAAGCGAACAGCATGGATCCTGATCAGACTGCACGGATGCGAAGGCTGGTCTAAATCAATGCTGGTCGCAAACGCACTATGTTGGTTTTGTTGTGACGCGGCTCATATGTAGTGTGCAGATGTGCAGAAAAGACCTCAGACACCATGTTAGTGGTATACCAAAGTCTGATGCTATTCCCATGTTCTGAAGTTATTTTGGCATATTTTGTTACAAATTGTCAGGACTATATTGTCACCTCTGGCATTGAAAGAGTTAAATAAAACAACAAAATTACTGAGTAAAGTTGTAGGTTTTGAGAAAACTAACAAACAGTACCGTGATTTAAGACATATTTGATGACTTTAAACACAAGTTTTACTGTAATGATCTAAAAGCAAGCTTAAATGAAATAAATCTTGTAAAATTTTATTTATTAATGCTGACCTTTTTATTTATTTATAGATTTTAGTGCAGTGATAAAAAAAACTTATTTATTCAACAAACCAGTATCTTACATTAAATCAATAAAACATGTAAGAAAAGAAAATCTAGGTGACGGAGGTTTTTGTGTGTATGAATTATCCCATTCAAGTGAACTAAACTCTAGGTAGATAAGAAGATTTCATTCAGGCAAAAAAATAATAATAATACAAAAACATGATTTTTCTCCTATTTTACTAATCTATGCTTATACTGTATTATACAGCAAACGAAGAATAAACTTTTATACTCGGATGTAATTTCTATTACGATAAAATATAAAGATCAGCCTTTTTTTTAAATGGCAATATGAATATAATGTGTTTATCTGATTAGATTTTACAGAGGGCACCTGGGAGACCTTTGCTCTGAAAATGAGCTGATATCAAAAAGCTGAACTTCACCAATATTTATAGTGACTTTCCTATCATTATCAGTATTACTAATGTTAATTTGTGTCTCTAAACATGCCGATTGATAAAACTGTCTGACTTTTATTATTATGCCACGATGCCTCTAGCAACCATTTTAGAATACTGTTTCCTTGCATGAAAGAGCAGACGGCCAATGATGCGCTATTAAAGACCCTCCTGAGCAACAGGATGAGTTCTATCTTTGACAATTGCCTTGGCAGTACACAGATATTATATCACGGAAATAATAAGTATTGACTTATGCATGATTGAAATGACTTCATACAGAAATCATTTCTAAATATGACAAAGTTTTTTGTATTTTTTTAAATCGTGATTTGTAAATGTAAGGGAAGTGACCATTTTCCATACAGACATAATTATATACATCAAATCTGCATTGTTATGATTAAGCTTGATGATGATCTTAAAATTTTATATACGAGGTTTGTTTCACTGTTCTTGAAGGATTCTGATTTTCTTTATTTCAAAATCATAATTTGAGGCCCATAATAATTTTTAGGAGCATTATTTCCTAATATATCTTTTCATAGCAGGTACAGTAAAAAATAAAAGATACCTTCACCAGTTGGAATGGGCGGTAGTAGATGGGTCTCCGGCGTGTTACACCGGACAACCTTGTTGTTGGGGTTGTCTAGTGTTTTGTTGGTCGTAATAATCCGAATATTCCTACTGTAGCTAAACACACACTGATATGGATGTGTTCCAAAACTTGGGAGGTTTGACACATTCAGCTGAAAAAAAAAGGCAAATAACTTAGCATACAATATCATCAATTAACAATGACCTATCTCTCACCCTATGGTAATGGGATCAAACCCTATTTAAGTCACACCCAAATTTTCTAAAATGACACAAGCTCTGATTAGTTGCAGGAAGCGTACATGAAAATCATTATTCATTACCACCCTAAATATCTTGAATGGACTTGTCCATCTTTCAATCTGGACAAAAACCATTTATCACAGTTGGGAGCAAATTCAAAATATTTACTTACTGAATACAGTGCAGTCCATGATCAGGCATACATAGATGTGCCAGCTGATCTTGGTATGCACTGAGTACATGGGTGTGTGCACTAATTACATGGTTGAGTTAATTGGATTATATCCAAAAAGGTAAGATTTCCAATTAAAACAATTATCAGTTTTTATTATAATTATACGGTGAAGACAATAAAAGAAAATATTTTTCAATATATTCTTTAATCATAATTCTATTAAGAAACTGTAATAAATGATAACTTAAATGATTGCAACAGGTTCTTAAAATACTGATATTACAGATCATTCAGGAGAAGTTCGTAAAAATCTTCAAATTATCCCCAAGAACTGTAATTAATTTGCCTTATTTTTTTAATTTCCTTCACAACTTTTTATCAAGTTTTTATTTTTGATCTTTCAGTGCTCTTTGTTATGTGTGCCATGAATTACTTACAATTAAATTTCTAGAGAAAATACCATGTTAATTTATAATTTTCCAGTAATATCTTTATATACATTAATAATTATAGGCAGTCAAAAAACCAAAAATTTCATCAGAAAATACAAACCATTTCATCTTCTATAATTGAAACTCTATCATACTGGGTATTTCACTTCATTGGATGAGGACAGTGCTTCAACCCTTCCATATATTTATTCTAGAACTATACCCATGGAAAATGAAATTATACATTTCTCTGTCAGATGATGGATTCTTTGAAAAGAGACAGGTTGTAAATTCTTTGGAAATTCTGCACTTTTACAAAAACAGAGGCATTTCCCTAGAGATTTCACAGGAAATGAAATTGGCGTTAAGTATGCAATGTAAAAACAATTATCTGCAGGCATTGCTTTCTTCCAAGGAATATGTAAATAATGCAAAAACATAACAAAGTAAATTGCCTTTGCATGTTATAGCTTACATTACTCATTCCCTCATATATTATTTTGGTTATTATGCGTTTTAAATGTTAAATCTGGTTTGAAATTGCGCTGTTATAAAGCAGCTGATTAAAATATCCAAGTTAATTTAAAAAGTTAAAACATTATGTCATAAAGATTTATATGTCTTATGTATAAAAATTTAACAGTCCTAAATAGTAATGACATTAATTTAGTGGCCTTAATTCATTTAATTTCAGTAATAAGTACAGTCAAACTGTTATTTATTTATCATTAAAAAACAGGTCTTTATGTATATGCTGGAATCATCATAATTACTGATAAGAAACTGTGAGAGTGAAAAATGACCTCAATGCCAACAGCACACTACCCCCACCCCCCCCCCCTATCCCCCCACCCCTTTTTCGATACAGACCACAATCAGCTGGCACACACGTGTTGTCCGGTCATGGTCACGATTCAATTTTTCCCCTATATATTATGAATGGTTTTGTCCAAATTGAAAAACAGACCAAAGTCCATTTAAGATATTTAGTGTGGTAAGAGTTAAACAAGTGCTTCATCTAATTACAGCTGAACAAGATGCATAATCATTTAATATAATTGAGCCGTGTCACGACAAAACCAACGTAATGGGTTTGCGACCAGCATGGATCCAGACCAGCCTGCGCGTCCGCGCAGTCTGATCAGGATCCATGCTGTTCGCTTACAGACCCTATAACAAGTAAAGAAACTGATAGCGAACAGCATGGATCCTGATCAGATTGCACGGATGCGCAGGCTGGTCTGGATCCATGCTGGTCTCAAACCCATTATGTTGGTTTTGTCATGACACGGCTCATATATATTTTTATTTTTTGTATCTTAATATGACTACTTTTACACAAAGAACAATTAACATATACTACAAAGAAGTTGAAATATATGTTTAACAATAATTAATAACCACATTAAGCCTATTTAGATGTGTTTTTTTTTCCTCATACTAATGTATTCATCTCTATTTTTTGTTCCCCTTGTTATTGTCCTTCGGCTAAATTATAAATTAAAACAATCTTTTCAAGGTTTTTTTTTGCAGTTTCATTCCTTGTGTAACAGTGCGCATAATTTGCTGTCTCACTTTTGTATGAGGGAATTTCAACAGGACAATAACTTGTGTGTATCTAGCTGAAATTTAACCTCTTACACTAGACAATCTATATGCAAATATGGAAATTAATATTTAATACATGAAAATGTGGAATGTGAAGCCTAAAAATTCTGATATTTTCTTTGCTTTCACCTTTAAAGGCAATAAATTATTCAGTAGATCTCTAATTCTTCTTGAAATCCCTACGTTTTGTTTTTTTTTGTTTTTTTTGGTATTTCAGGAATCTGCATAAAGTCCAATGGTTGTCATTATGAAATTACATAGGAATGAAATAAATACTCAGGAATGAGATAAAAACCTGGCAATTATGAGATAAACTTTTTGGAAACAAGAAAAATCTAGAACTGCCACTATCATGGCGTGAATACCCCCGCATACCACTTTGTCAGAAGCTTTTTTTAAGTCAAGGCCCCTGTGACCTTGAACTTTGACCCAGTGACCTCAAAATCAATAGGGGTCATCTACTAATCATGACTAACCTCCATGCCAAATATGAAGACTGTGGGCCAAAGGAATCTCAAGTTATTGGGCGGACAAGCTTTTTAAAGTCAAGGCCCCTGTGACCTTGACCTTTGACCCAGTGACCCCAAAATCAATAGGGGTCATCTACTAATCATGACTAACCTCCATGCCAAATATGAAGACTGTGGGTCAAAGGAATCTCAAGTTATTGGGCGGACAAGGTTTTTTTAGTCAAGGCCCCTGTGACCTTGACCTTTGACCCAGTGACCTCAAAATCAAGAGGGGTCATCTACTAATCATGACTAACCTCCATGCCAAATATGAAGACTGTGGGCCAAAGGAATCTAAAGTAATTGGGCGGACAAGGAAAAACCGACGGACGGACAGGGAGAAGTCTGGACGTCTGGTCCAGTATACCCCCCTTACAACTTCGTTGTGCGGGGGGTATAAATACAAACAAGATAGAAATTTTTGAAGAGGAAAGGAAATGGTATAGATACCATACCTAGAATGAGATAAATAATACCTAGGTATCATAGCCTAGGAATGAGTTATATACCTAAGAATGAGATAAATACCTACTAGGTATTATAGCCTAGGAATGAGATAAATACCTAAGAATGAGATAAATACCATTGCAATTACCTTAGAATGAGATAAATTTCTGAAGAAATTAGAATTAGATAACCTTGGAATGAGATAAATACCTATGACTGAGATATATAACTGATTTGAGATAAATTACAACTAGAATCTTAAAACGAGACAAATACCTTATAAGGTCCAATGGCCGTCATATAACGAGGACTTAAAAACTGCTGTGAAAGAATATTTTTGATAATGTTTTTTATTTTCACATATCAATAGATATGTTAAATACACTAAAGAATAGTACCTGTATGCTTCTAGAATGGGAGTATTCTTTCTGTATCTGTTTGGGGATGACACTTGTAATGGATGGACAAGAATTGTTACTACCACTGTATGGCAGCCAGCGCAACACCTGATCATTACTGGCACAATCCTTTTTTAGGCTGCATCTGAAAGTACAGAAAAAGGAAAAAAAAATTGAATAGAAATCTAACGCAAGCACACCAATGACTGTTTTTGAAAAAGTGAAATTCCTTGACATATTGTGTTTCATAGAAATTATACAACATGATACTTAATATATAATACTTCAGTTATAATAGTTTCGTCTTAATGATTATGATTCTATTTATAAATATACTTAATATTTGTATTATTTTAGGAAAGGACAATAATAACAATACAATTGACGCTCCTTTTCCTGTTGTTTCAACAAAAAAAGTTCCCTGTCAAAACGAATCAAGCTGTAGCACTTCCTTCTCAATGCATGCACGCTGCTGACTTCTCATATCATGCTATCATTTTTCTCTATCCCAAGCTCAATAACAAACCAATATCACTAGATTAGTGTACAGGGCCGTGACACTGATGCACCCTCTGATAGTTGGTTTCTTATTACAGGCCGAACATCCCGCTAAATCATACGATGTCATATAAATATGAGTAGATTCTATTACATCTTGCACTTTATGAGGGAATATTAATATCAGACCATCGGGGAACATCAAGAAAGCTCGCCTTTTTATCCCCGGCAATGGTATATGGGAAAATTAATAACGATTCATCGACCAAAGACTGTCCTGACACATTCTATACAACAGGCCACTTTATGTCTCCAGTAGTCAAAATTCGTTGCATGAATGCCACTGGTTGGCTGAACATTTGTCATTTTTCATCTATACCAGAATTGACAAAAAAGGTCATAGAGATTTGTTCCTGATTAAAGAATTGGCTGTATCATTTATCATGACTTTTGCAATCATTGCCGCCTCAATGGTGTCGAGCATGACTCACATTTCCATTTATTACCAAAATTAATACATTTTAGACGTAACTGAAACTTTTCAGGGCTTTTTTTTCCATGGGGATTTTACTCTTCAATACAAAAAAAGATTTCAAAGGCAATGCATCTACTTTTGAAAAGAAATCACCTTAAATAAAAAAATTATCACACATAGATAAACTTTGTCATTCTGTTCGTCTTTAATAAAATACACATGCATCTCAAATACTTAAAGGTTCAGCTGAAATTGTGGTGCAGTTTATCGAATTTTCAGACAATTCCATCAAATGCCATTTGGAAACTTCATAAAGCTTATCAAAGTCAAAAATACGACCTCAAAATTATATGAATGAAATGGTTGAATTATTTCTTTATCTTTATAGACCACCATCAACAGACAGTAAGGTCACAAAGATTCAGTTCAGATTAAAAAAGCCTGGCTGTACCATTTATCAAGACTTTTTAATCATTGCTGCCTGGAATGGCATTCAGGAGATGACTCACTTTTTTTTTCATTTTTATTACCAAAAATGTTTTTCTCCAATCATTTGATTGGGTAATATCACTCAGAAAACTGCAGTAATCTTTTGATCTATCTCCCACTGAACATTTCATCATTTCATCTCCCCAAAAAAGCATTTACAAGATACAGATTAATAGCTTAGATTGTATTAAGGATTGTCAAAATGAATACCAATATCTTGTATTCTACTCCCCTGACCCCCCCCCCCCCCCTCCCATAAAAAAAAAAAAAAAAAAAACTTGACAAAATTAAGTTTCTAGAAAAAAATACTGTTTGTTTATTTAAGTGTTTTTAATTTTTTCAATAAAATAATTACTAATTTTTAACTAACTTATCTTTACCAACATCATCAAAATAACATAACCAGCATCAATAACACTAGCACCATCATCATCAACAACATCATTACTACTACCACCATCATTGACATCATCATCATCCTCCTAATAATCATCCTCACAATAATCATTATCATTATTACCACCATTACTATCACCACCTCTACCATCATCATCATCATCATCAACAACATCATTACTACTACCAACATCATTGACATCATCATCATCCTAATTATCATCCTCACAATAATCTTTATCATTATCACCACTATTACTATATATAATCATAATCATTATTACCACCATTACTATCACCACCTCTACCATCATCATCATCATCATCATCACTAACATTATCACCATGCTCATTACTATTACCATTACTACAATCACCAAGACATTAAATTTTGAACAATTTCACATTTTTAAAGAATGAAATCTCAAAAATTAAAGCACGCATGAGAAAAATCAGTTAACAAATCATGGAGCTAAAAAACCTGTTCACAGAATTCTTACATAGAGCAAGTTGACATTGTGGATCTAATTCTTCTATGGAATGATTACAATCACTCTGTACAACCTATCAAAATTCTCAGCAACAAATGTGGCACTAAATTACCCTCAAGAAATATTTACTCCTGACTCACACACCCCCTCGCATATCATTTTGTCATTTATCATGTAGAACACATCAACTTTACATGATACCAGGAATCATCATACAACAATTTTATGATTCATATATCCCCTTCGATCATGAATAAAACGAACACTGGTGCCGTCATTGTAGGAGAGTTCTCCGGTTGTCCGAATATGACATTATCCCTGACCCCATCCCGCTTGAATTCTGGTCAGATAATCAATGGGTTACAATAGGGAGTCATTCTATGGAATGTGGGAAATATCATTGTTGACAATGGTGACAGAATGCAACAATAAAACTTGAGAGATGGTGGGGGGAGGGGGGGGTAGGGGGCCAATCAGGACCTGTTGATGATATAGAAATTTATAGTGGCCACAGTTGATATGTCTGTAAAGAATGCTCAATATTAAATAACTAACTGTATTTTTTCTATATTAACAAAAGCTTGATTTAAAACTTTTTTTTACCTTTTATTTCATCGACTTCATATTACAAAACAAAATATGTCAACAAAGTGTAGTATTGTGTGTGCCGTTTAGTTATACAAATGTAGTCATGATAATATAAATGAATTAGCATCAGAAACTTTCCAGAGCCTTTAACATTCAGTTATCAAAAGTACAAAAGTTGCATTAGTTGCACTTAAACAAGATGTAAATTAGCAAAAAAACAGCTAGCTTGCACTCATTTCATTGTCTTTCCTGAGCAACCTATCAACCCAACTGATTTGTTATGCAATGGACTCAAAGAACTCAACTGAGGTCAAGAGCCTATAATCGTAAAATTTAAATTTCTTACAAAAATCAAATGGGTAGTACTAAAGATATGTAAAAATCTCAGAATAAAATTGCAACTTGTACTTTTGTGCTTCTTTTTTTTAGCTTGATTTGAGTTAAAAACTTTTTTTTGCTTCTCATATTTAGGTCATTTTGCCCAATTGACATAAAAATGAGCAAATAAACTAAATTTTATGCACAAGTTTTTGGTCAAGACCTGTCACGAAAGCTTATGTTTATTCAAACCACTTTCAAGTTTACTCCCTGGAATTTAAAAGACTGGTGTTTTAATACAAGGACACAATTGACCAATGTTAAAGTCTCAAACCCACAAGGTTCATAGGCAGACACCTTAACCACAGCCTTTCTTAACACTTGTGCTCAAGAAACTTAACAAATGTTCCTTATAATTTCAGCATATTCCAGGCATCTGATGAAAACATTTTCTCAATATTTACTGACAAAAAATAGAGAATTCCACAAGTTCAACATCTCTACAAGCTTCTGCATATCATAACAACCTTTGGAGACACCGTTCTGAATATCTTAAATTATTCCCCACACAGTTTTCTACTTAGACTTCATCAGTTTCAATCAGGCCTCTGATTTTACTGAATTCTTTTCTCTAATGTAAAATGGGGGTATATTAACATGTAACTGAATACCTGAAAACAATTACAAAATGTATTTAAATCATTAAGAAAGTCATTTTTTTGAGATCATGCTATGCCAAAATTCCATGTCTCCTAAATTCGTATTATAAATTAATGATTTAATTTATAAAACAAGCCAGGTAAATTACATGCTATGTAAATATAAAAGAAAAACTTGACAGTGTGTGCACTGTAAATCAGTAAGGTATGTATATAATTATATACATTAAGATTTATTTAACACAATTCACTGTGAAATGAACTTACATACATACATCAGTAAAAAACAAACTACAACAAAATATGTAAAGAGGAAATTTGGATTGTAAGTCACTACTGGTTAATCAAAAGATTAAGCAAAAGCTGCAAGGTCCATCTGATTTCAACAGTTTCAATAAATATCTGCTTATAAAATAACTTTCTTTTTAAATTGCAAATTTAAATATCTTTCATAATTACAATGTATGAACAACAGCGGCACAGCAGTATGGTCGCATGAAAAAATGTGTTGGACTAATACTCAAAGGAGCACTAGCCGTGTGGCTTCAAACCCTGTCCCAGGGGCAAGCTGCTGTTTCCTTGAACAAGAAACTTAACACTCATTGCTCAGTACTAAGTTGGTTCCAGGTGTGTCTGTAAGCTTATAGCTCCAGTTCAAGCAAACTAAAATAAATTCTCAACCAAGGTAAATACGAAATAATGAGTAACACACGTATTCTGTATAAACCAATTATTAACATTTTTGTTACACAAGAAACTTAACAATTGTGAGTTTAAATGAAGCTTTATATGGATTCAGGATTTACTTTGATCATGTCACATTGAAGATGACCCAGTTTTATATATAATAAATGTTGATGAAATAGATTTACATGCTATAAGCTTGATCTGGATTGACCTTAAAACTTACAACAGCCCTTGAAAACACAACATCTTCTGTGTTATTGTACTAAATACATCTACTTCAAACAATGGCTTTATTCACCGATAACATCATGGTAATATATATATATACTAAATGGAGTATATCATTTCTTACATTTAATAATATTGAAGGATGGTTGCAGTAAAGTACAAACTGCTGTAGTACTAGGTTGAATATTAGGTCAAATGTTATTAGAGCCTTTAGAATTAATTAAAAAGTCCATAGTTAAGGGTTGAAATTCTGACAGTTCCTGTCCAGATCTGTAAGGGTCATATGGCATAAATGGTATAAATAAACTCATATTGC